GATTCCGCAGAACTCGAACTTCTTATACAGTGTATAATTGCATAATAACGGAATCTCGTTCATTGCGAGCGCTCGTTTGACCGATGCTGGGCGGGAATGTGTGCAAGCTGGATCACATTGTCTAAGGACGACCTCGTTTACCACACTCTACGCGTTTGACCGCGCGAGCAAGCTGCATTCTCAACTAGATGCTAGTAAGTTACGTCTTTATACATTATCTATAACATCGATGATTGTGTGTCGGCCAGCGGAACGAACGGCGCGCGGAATGGGAATGAGTCGTTTTGCGGACGCGAAAAAAATGCGATCGATCTTTACATTACCCAGCTAGAACTGAAGCGTCAACTAACTGCTCCTGCACTCTGGACCAGGCGGAATTCGAATCTGGAGCACTAGACGATAGCATGCAGGAAATTATTACATCTACTAAATGAGTCTTGAATGCAACGCTCGACGTCGAACGATTGAATGTTGAACGCTGGTTACATGCAAACGTGAATCATTTCCAATGAGAATCTGCATGATGTCGTTCGGCAAAGGCGATTAATTAAGTGGAACAATTACGGCGCGCGAGAGCGCGCATAGAGGCTGTTAACAAGTCGCAGTAAGTCAACTGGGTGCTTCCGCAAAAATCGAACTCACTCAGGTGAGGCCAGCATTGAGATTTAAGTTATCTTCAACTCAGCAACTCAACAAGTCCACTTCAAAGACAATTAGTTGGAACGGTTTTCTGGGCAGATAAAAATAGCAACCGGTAAATGATTTTATTTCACTGCGTTTAACTCGAGTGCTTGTAACTCCATATTGGATCGAATCAATCGTTCAACTCCCACACAAATTGTTGTTTAAATTATACCTCTCTTCAGCTACAAGTGCAAATACAAGTTTTTGTGTCTTTCTGTAAACGTTTATCTTGTCTCGTTTAATTCATTGTTGGTTAGCCGGTTGAATGAAGAAAATTTAGTTTTTATGAGTGTATCTTATTACGCGGTTGATTAATTAGCACAATTTTCCTTTCATCCTTTCGTTCGGAAAGCGTACGTGGCCAATTAATTGCGCGCTGGCATAAAATATCGCATTAATCATACGCTAAGTGTGTACGCTTCCTTTTTTGCGGATATCATTCGACTCGCCAAACCATAAACCCTTACTTAAATCCACATTAATTGTACCTAATCAGTCACAACTGATTGCGCACAAAAGCGGGCCCATCCACATGTTGGAAGCAACTTCGTGCATCCAGGCTGGAATATTTCAGAGAACCCCACGATGGGCGCCCACACGGCGAGTAATTAACCGCACAATAACTTCAACTCGGCAAAAACTGTTCAACTCCCGCACAATCCAACCGAAACTCGCCAACGACGAATATCTAAATAGCACTCGCAATCGCATTCGTGCACAAAATTTCCTCCACACACATGTTGGTGTGTGGACTCGACTCGGGTTTGATACGAATGTAGGTCGGTTGCCAACCGCAAAACTTTAAATGGCGTCGTTTAAAAGTCGCAATAATTTGCGAGAGCGCAAGCGTTCAACAGATAAGATTCCTGCCCAGAAACGCTAAAAATACCGCCGAAAACTTTGGACACCATGCTTCATGCACAATTAGAATTAATTGAAATCTTGGCTGTGGGCATTTTGGGCAGCGCCTTGAAGATAAAAAACGCATCCGCGATAATTTATTTAAAGCACAAACGACGTCTGCGGCGATAATCAAGGCGAGTGCTTCACGGAATCTTCATCAGCCGGCAGGAGATGGAGATGAAGAGCACAAGTCGTCAAAGTGTAAAACCCCCGTGAGCGCTTGCCACGTCGGCTTCATCTTGGCTCCTTTCTTTTATTCTCTTAATTTTTTTAATTACAACCGACTCGCTGAAGTCAACCGCAGATTAGTCCAAGTAGCATTGGGGCCAACTCAATGGCCCATCTCCACGCTGGAGTGTGATGCAACTGAAGTCATCGTTAATGTCGACAAACGGCGGAGTTTACCCTTTTCGCCTCTGCTAAACGAGAGCGCGTACCCGGTATTTACACAACATCATCATCAACAACAACAGCGGCGGCACCGTGAACAGACTGAAGATGAATAAGGTGGACAGAATGGGAAAATGCAAAACTGTGGGGAAAAGAAAGGAGAGGTGCAGGAGATGCTCAGCGACGAGACAGCAGACCGGGTTCGTGGCATCGGCATTTGGTGTAATGAAGTACTTTGGTTCGCGAAGTTAAATTAAACATTAATTAAAGGTAAATAACTACAATTTGTTTGGACTTTGCGTGGAGATTTGTGTATCAAAAATAACGAGACTTTAATCGGTGCAATTAACGAGTTGATGCAACAGATTCAAAAGGAAATTGAGATACCAAAAAGGAAAAAGAAGAAAAACAACCCTAGCCTGATGAGACTAACTAGCAGCAGAGTAAAAATATGATGTTAAATTATAATTAATAACTATTTAACTTTCAAAACTTTCAGAAAACTTGCTGTTTTTATAATATTTTTTAACTCTGGTGATGTTCCACGAGGTTTGACCAATGGTTCATCTCCATGCCTACTCAGATGATGGTTTTATTATACAGCCGCCGCTTGATCTGATGGATTGTTTAACGCATTCTTAAGGTTCGAGCATTAAATCAAAGAACGACGGGTGGTAAAATCTCTTCGGCTGAAATCGGCCGCGGCGCGACATAAGTACCTATATCTCATGTGCGCACCACAGCTTATTATGCACGTATATACTGCGCATATAGGCAAATACATGAAAATTCGAAATGACTGATTTTAATCGGCGACCGGTGTCATTTGTTCGGCTGACCGTGTCTAATAATGCCGAACAGATTGCATCTAAACATCTCCATACGAGGCGAGGTCCAAGCGCGGATGTTGGGACACATTGGGATGTAAACATAAAGAAGCGACTCAGAGCTTGACCATTCCACCAATAATCCGAGTAGAACTTGAATAAATATATTTGATGCTTGAATATTTCGAAGAATAGAATTGAGGATTTAGACTTGGTAACGAGATATTCCTATGCTATTGTTTTATTGATTAAATATTAAAAGTCTACAGAAAATTGTAAATAAATATAGGTAAAATACTATAGAATAATCCACAAAATAATTGATAACGCAAAAAAGCTTTATGATTTATTCGGCGACAAAAATCAGCATAACCACGCGTGCGTCCGGTTGCAATTTATAATAAATTTATCGGGCGCCGCCGATTTGCTTTATTCACGGTTACAATGCGACCAATTCTCTATATATTTTTGCAACAAATTTAAGGCAAATATTTTATTTATTGTGTAGGACGATGCCGAGCGTTTTCGGCTCGCTTTTTGTTGCAATTTCCGAACGATATTTCCACACGACGTGATTTATTATCGACGATTCCGCGCGTAAAAAGCGAGGAGCCTGCGCCGATATTATATAACCATGTAACCCAATCTATTTTTTATTTACTGGTTATAATATTTTTTTAACGCCACAACAAAAAACGATAACGGAGCGTCAGGCAAGAGCGGCACACACACGAAAAAAAAATCGCTTGTAAATTGTATAAAAGCAACCGATGCATGATGAACATTTCACCCACAGTAAAAGCGTGACACACAAGCGTGGTTTCTCTACCAGGACATGTGAAGCTCGCCAAAGGAGCACGAAAGTTGCCTGTGTGTGCAGCGATGATTGTGTCTTTTACCAGAGCTTCTGTTGTGAGTGAAGCTCCGTGTAGAAAGGCCAATATGGTGTATCAAACGAGCTCAAAATGCGCGCTTTGATGATGTAATAATATTGGGCGTCGATAGCGACGCTCAGTCGTGGTGGTTTTGATAAAATTATCAACATGTTTTTCACTAAAAATGTTGCAACCGCATAAAAAACACCCACGATTTTTTGTTTACTTTTCAGAATGGATTCCAATTTCAATTCTAATATAGCACCGAGTCGTTTTAAGCATTTAGGCTAAAACGCTTCACAAAGTTAACAAACTGATAAATTCCCCGGTGTTGACTAAAATGGCAAAAACGAGGCGAGCCGAAACGCGGAAAGCGAATTGATTACTGATTTATTGTCGAATGTTTCACTTTGTTCGTAAACCGCCCATCGCCCACACCCACCGATGGCGCATTGCTGGCGGACACACATCAACGTATCGCCCGTAACTGTGCCATTATTTAGCCGGAATTAAAACGAAATTTCATTAACGGCGTAAAAACGTAATTTGTCTCCATGCGCTTCGCCACCAGCCGGTACAACCCGTATCAATGAGTTGTTGTTGTTTTCAATCCTACAGTCATGCACGGTGGACGATTGTTTGCGTGGTAGTTGCGTTGTTTATCTGTCTGTCAACGTTCGATGGAACGTCCAGGATCAGCGCCAGGATATCGCGTCACCGATACGGAATGGAATGCCGTGCATAACCAGGAAGCTTCAAATCACCAGTAAATACCAGTTTGCATGAGCGGGATTAGCACCGGATAGTCCAGAGTGAAGTAATCTACTTAACTGTTATATGCTCGGTGCTAGACACGTTCAACAAATCACAATTATTCAGAGAGACGCTTTTAAAACCAAAAATAATTATTAGGTAATATAATTTTCATGATTATTTATAACTTTTACTATTGTATGTTATAATAGAGGTCATTTGGTTCTGAGCAATAAAATCCTGGTTTATAAAGGTGGTGCATGCAAGCATTCGGTATGAAAACCGTTTGTAGGTCCTGGCAACGCGACGGTGCAACCACCTTTTCCTAATTAGCTCAATTTATATGCATGTGTGCAGCGGCTGCAGGTTTGCCTTGCTTTATCGAATAAGAAACGAGCCGAGCCCTCGGCACAGCGCACGTAATTTCAAACGTTCCACACCGGATACCATTTGAATACGATATAAAGATGCAATACTAGGAAACTAATAATATCACAAAAGCTAAAACTTCCTGAAAAAGGCTTAAAAACATCAATAATCAACAATTATTTATAGAGTAAGTAAAAAGGTTTATTAATTCATTTGATTTACACAAAATACAATATTCAATAATAAAATCACTTAATATAATTAATAAACATTAGAATTAACATGATTAAAATGTAAGCAATGAATAAAGCTTGCAACGATATACACTTGATAATTAATTAAAAACACACACGAAATCAACAAAAATTGGCGTGAATATAGACACATTAGTCAAACAAATTAGAATAAAATATTTTGTGCGCGTATACGATTTTGCACAAATTATTATAATAAAGTTAAACTTCACTTGTAATATGTACATTTTAAATGAGATTTTGAATGAAAATGGAATTTATTCATTAAATATACACCACAGCACCATTTAGCTATATATTTACATGTTTACAATAATCGCGCAACATTTATTATCCAGTGCGTCATTTTCTCATCATATTTCACAATTGAATTCAGAACTCTTTGCTAGTTATTGTTATACCTAATTATATAACTCAAATCAATCACAATCGAATAAAGCTAATATGCTCGTAATTAGGATGTAGATGTACACATGATTTATTGTGAATTATTTCGTATGTAGAATTAGGTTATGACTTCAGAAATCGGGCTTATATTTTTATTCACAGTAAACAATACATACATTTAGAAAAATAACATTTTAAGCGCTTTCTTTGGGTTAAATTTATATCTGTAGTCCATTTGTAGATTTATTTTCTATTCGTTTTTAATGTTCAGTGTTTTAATGTGCTGGGTTTTAAATTACATAAAACCTCTTCGTTTAGTACGAATTCGTATTATTAATATATAATATTTATTATACAAATACAAAATTACATTTATTTACGTCTCTTTATGAATGCATTTCTATTGTTTATTGTTTATATCCTTTACAATGTTTTGATAAATTTAGCTTTATTTTACATGAAGTAATTAAACTCGCTGTATTTTCTTTTTAAATATTTACATTAACTTAATATGGAATAGAAGTGACCAGGTAAATGTCTTTGTGATGCTTTAATTAGTTGATACTGTTAGGTGAGCGGCATGGCGCTGGTTTCAATTAGCAATACTCTTACTATGATAAATAATTACAAATTGTGATTTAATTAATTAGTCAAACAAGCCATAATTGCATATTGTGGCCGCCCGAGTGAGCTGACTCGATGCATCGTGCAGGCAGTTGAAATTAATGAGGAATTTCATAGGTAAACTTGGATGTAAATCGCAACTAATTGCCATTAAGGAATGTTTTTACTGAAAACATCATAGTAACGTGCATAAAATTTACAGTTTAATATCATAAAACTCAAATAAACGTCAATTAGTTATAAATGTAGTTTATACAATGTACATAGTGTGTACCCACTTAATGAAAGTGTAAAGTATGTTACACACGATAGGAGAAAACTGTAATTTTTCGATTTTTATGTTTGAATTTTAAAAATTAAGTGTTTTAAATTTTTACAAGTTGCCAACAATTTTTGATAAAAATTTCTTTTAATATCCGAGTGAGTTTACTTTATTTTAATAAAACAGATTTGTTATGTTTTGACGTTGATTCTAACATTTTCATATTTCCTTCTGTTTCAGCTTCTGTTTGCCGCGCACATGCTGCAACGCGTTGAAAAGTATCACCCTCCGCGCTGCACGTCCATTCGCAAAGGTGAAATTAATCAAAACTTTTTCGGCGCGATGCAAAAAACGGCCGTCGTTCTGAACGTCTTAACGTTTTATTAAATATCACATTAATCTTTTTCCTCCCGCCTTCCCGCACATTCGCCGCAACGTCGCTTTCATACCTCGCGTCTTTCTTCAAATAAAACTTTCCGAAATAATCCGACGAGAACGAAAATCTGCACTTGTATCAGTGTGTACGGCATGATATCGAACGGAATGTAGAATTATAAATGATCTTTTGATTTCATTTAAATTTATTTAACGTTTAATTGCGTTCCCCATTCGACGTCGTTTCGATTTGGTGAAATTAATTGCTTTGCGGTTATCGATTGCGGCTAATAATTAGAATTCGTACTGTTTCTCTCATGCGGTTACTTTTTTTGTTTTACTTTCTTGGCATGATCGTTGTCGCCCTGCTTCTGGTAAACGATGTTTTGCGAGTGTGCACACCATGCTCGTATATCATTCGCGTTGTTTTAAAGTGTATACAGGATGATTTACGAGCGATAATGCGCAGCGCGGTGCGGCAGCGTCCGACGTCCGAATATTTGAAATTAATAATATCGGCGACTAATCATTCGATTTAAATGTATTTAAATGACCGTGAAGCGCTTATAAATTGCCGTCGAATTTATTAATAAGCCACCGCGACTCGCGGCGCGCCGATAGGTTTCAATTAATTTTACGTGCGTGCACGTCGCGCAAAACGCTGATTAATTTCCATCAAATAATTAAACGGCAATTTTCTCCGCGGTGATGGTCGAGGCTTTGATGATTTTAGTTGGTAATTAATTCGGCGGGATCAAATATTTCATGGCAAATTTCAAACCACACGCGAATTGTTTCACATCAATTGCCCAAAATCATCCACCGCAAATAATTAAATCAGCCCGAAAACAGTAATAAATTAAAATCATGAAGAATCTAAAACAAATATCGCCAGATAAGTAAATACTGAGTTGTTTCACGTGTGTTGGAAATTGCTTGGGTCACGACATTGACACCTGGTAACCGATCAAACTTTTTTACGTTTTACTTTCTTCGGTCACTTTCTAGGTGCCACTTTCAGTTAAGTAGTTATGTCGTTATGCCACCTTCGGAAAGTGCATTAAGTCCGCGCGGCCGTCATCAAGGGCGCAAAGTAAACGCGCCAACTGGTCGATGAGTTGACTTTTTTCCACTTGGAATTTAAGGGTTGCAAACGAACTAAATTACCGCGCGATACAATCTGGCCAATAAGCTCTCGCAAGCACTTTATGAAATTACCCCATCATTTCAACTTCGCCTTCACGCCGTGTCGCACACCTTCAAATTATGTTCACAATAAATTTCAATCGGCTCGATTCAAATTAATCATGATTAGGGACAATTTACTTTTTGTCATTCCATATGTTTCTTCGATTTGTCTTTCTTATTTAATTTTCACACATATGACTTAAGTCATTTGCTCTCTGCTCAACTCAACTCAACTAAATCCACTCGTATGATGGTTTGTGAAGTCTTTTTTTGGATGGTTGTTGATTGTTGTTGTTTGCTCGCCGCGCTGAATCAATGCATCTGTAACAAAAAACAAGATGATTAGAAAAGAGTCCAAGAGCACTTAAATACGCATTAGTTTTTTAGAGATGGCTTCCAGGTAGTGTTTGGTTGGTGACTTTAGCCAAGTGCGCCGGACTGGGCAATAAACGCGTGCTCCTTGCGCGATTTCCGAACCGATCTCATTCGAGAAGCCAAAGACGCGCAATTACTGTCATTGCGTTTTGTGGCCAGTCACTTTTCATTAGCTTAATAACTGCCCTTAACCAGAAAACCGTCTAAAGTGCAGACCGTATCTTTCCGAATAAATACCTATACCTTGGATGAGCTATCACGAAACTATCTAAAAACAACATACAGAATGGGGCAAAAGTTTTACAAGACATAAAACTAACATCAAAAATCTTATTATAACCTGTATAATTTTATACTTAACCATATATGAATTGTTTTAGATTTTGCTACTTCTAAAAGATTGATAATCAGATAAATAAAAACTTTTCATTTTTAATTCCTCAAAAGTTTTTATGCTTCTCATATATTTTACAGTTTTTACGATTGTATGCGCGCACAACATGCACAGAAATAAGTCGTTGTGGTTTTTTGCCGCCGCAAATGGACTCATGTCCTTTTTCGTTTCTCTACATGAGCAGCAAGTGCATCCACTCATTGTCTTGAGTCTTCGCGCCTCTGCCGCAGCGCCCGAAAGCTTATAATTATGAACGCATTAAAAATATTTATACATAATGCGGAACTTTAATTATACGGATCCTGTTAGCCTCCTATCTGATAAAGACGCCACATCGACCAGACGCCTACTTAAACCAGCGACAGACAGACAAGTCAATATTTAGCAAGTGCTAAAGTTGCAAAACCATTAAACCGAAAAAAGAAATTCCATGTTTTTAAAAAACGAACTTTTCGTTTATTTTCAATTGTTATTCCTGAGTAATTTATTATTAACTCAGTGAATTAGTGACAGACAGAAAGGCCGGAATGAAATTAACTCGTGGCTATCACGAGTCTCACGACTATATCAATTCCGGCGAAGGAAATAGACCCACTTGCGTTTGGGACAGGCGGGCAAAGGAAGGAAGTAATACGCCGAGCGCACAATCGCCGGATAATTAATGATCGCACGTAAAACTAATGTTAATTTATAATCTTATCGATTAGACATCCTCAATAAAATTTCAATTCCACGCTACGTACGAACCATTATCAAACAACGGCACAATTCCTTCTTTGTTCATTAAACATGCAGAAAAACTAAACAAATAATTAAATTACCAAGTATTATAAATAAAATGGTTTGCAGAATACTCTTTGTTTGCGATTTTTGTCTGTAAACAGGTACGAATTTTATTAAGCTTTATACAAGCATAAAAATAAATTTGTGGGCCTGTTGATATCGATATCTTTTGTGCAGCCTTGACGAAATTAATGTATACGTAAATAAATTTGAATGCGCTGATGAAGTATATGCAAATGAAGTGAATTAATGATATTCATCGGGGATATCAACATTATCGGCTGAATTGTGTACAAATGTATCAGAATATATAGAACTGTCAGGAGGACGAAAATTGATGATAACTTATTGTCATGGATTCATACACTCAGACCTCACACAAAATGTTGGTGAATATCCAAGTTACTTTAATTTAAGTTCACATTTTTTACAATTCTATTGTTTTTGGTATTTGATTGTAATGATTTTGTACTTTTTTCAACTTATTTCTAACAATCATTAATTACCCACAGCCCGTGTACTGGTAAACAAGTGCTGGTCTGGTTCTAATATTTCAAAGCACTAATTTTATCCTCGAGGTTTTCGGATTCCACGCGGCGCTTACCAGTCGAATGGAGGAATGGATGCGAGGATGGTCGACGCCGGCGGCGCTTCATGCGCTGCCCCAGCTCAATAGTTGTGTCTCCGCGCCGGTAATTGCGGGCGAGAGCGTGGATCGTCTGCCCCCGAGGCTGGATTTAACCGTGCACTCACGTGTCGGTGCATTGAAGGCTAGAGAATGCCCGAACACGCAAATACTACACTTGTTGTCGGAGACTGTGCTTTCCACCTCTGGCAAATCTTGTGGTCGGACGTGCGCCTCGCACTTACATGTCTGCCCTCCAAGAGCTTAAATTGTTACACGCGAAAGCCAGTTATCACCAAAATCAACACGACCTTTGCATATCGCAAACAACCCCTTCAATATCGCCTTAAAACTTATAATTTCATCATAAAGATTTTAGTTTTTTAAAAAAATTACCGAATAAAACACATTTTTAATGTTTATATGCAAATGCCATGATATAAAAATGATGTATGAAATGCCGTCGTAACGAGGACAGTTTCGAATCGAGTCCATCAAGTTCGCGCCGTCTCATTGGCGTCTTAATCACAATTTAGGCATTTAATCAAGCTGAATATTATTCCGGCAAGACATTATAACTGCATCTCGCGTATAAAATTTGCATTTTCTCTGGCAGATTCTCACTGACCATGACCAACTCGGGCGGGTCGTTTCGTTACGGAACTTTTGAAAACATTAAACTTGCTTGCCAGCGCGGCGGAACTCAATATAATAAATTCCGGCTGGTGCGTTTCGGCACTTTTTGCGATTTTGTTGTGCCTTTTATTAATAACCACCGGCGGGCATGTTGGCAACATAAAAAACGGTCAAGTCGCAACAAGACGTTGACGAGAGACACCGGCTCACATCACGCGGACACCACCGGGTATGATAAATACTTGCATGAAGAAAGATCACCGGTAGATACCATGCGATCGTGATCATCAGTTTGCGATCAGTTTGGATGGAATGATGGAAATCTGCTACTTTGTATGTGACTTAGTAGACTTCTTGGACATGCCTTTATATGCGTTGTAGGATTCAACTTGTCTCGTCTTTCTATAGCGAGTTAATTAACGGTATCCGATGATATTTTTCTCGGCGCGTAATTTTTTGTTGGGTTGTTTAATTGCTTATCAATTACGTTGCGGTGCGACGACGCCGAGCGCACGCACGTGTGTTTTAATTAATTTTAGATTTTAGTGCTAGTCGGAGATGGCGTTATGCCTCCGAGAGACGAATCGCGGCTCGCCATTATGCGCACACGGCGCGCAAAGAGAATGGCTACGGCCTAACGGTCTGCAGCATAACATCGCAACACGGACGTATTATAAAAGCTCAATAATGGTAGCTATTAATTATACGGTGTATTATAAACGATGATCGTAATTGAAAATGAACTATGCAAACTGTTAAGGCAAATAAAAATATTCGCACAACGAGCAAATAATCATTAGGTTTTCTACTTTTGGTATATGGTTTGGTAGGACGGTGGAAAAGAACAATGTTTTTATATTAGGTCAACAGATTCTTAGACCAGTTCAGTCAGAGCCAGTAAAAAGTATCATCGAGTGCAAAGTCTTTTAGTGCATTAAATGGCAAAAAAGCCGGATTGCAAGGCGTGCACTTAGCATGCACACAAAAGTGAGTAAATACTCGCTTATCTTCAGCCGAGCACTTCAAAAAAATAACTTTGAGCGTGTTGCGTGCCACCACGGCCGGTGAAGACAACCTTGAAATCAACGCGACGTGTATATTTACTAAAAAGTTTAAAATGTTTGTTTTGCGAATTATTAAAATGCGTCAGCACAACAACGTTTTTTTTTGTATTTCTTTTGTGAATCTTGTTTTTTTATTGCTTTGTTAATCAATTTAATATTGCCCACTGAGCAAGGCGCCAAGTCAAACAAAGAATTTAACATAATTAAAATTAATGCGCGAGCATTTTACATCGGTCTTTCCATAAATAATACATTAAGACAACACTCTGCGTTTTACGAAAAACCGAAATTAATGTCGAATTAACTCCACCGACTGCAGAGTCGACTCATTAATTTCATGTTGATTGCAATGTACAAACATGCGCCCACTTTTGTGAAGACGAAATACGCACACGTATTAATATTGAAATTATAAACAACCAAGACAAACCCATCGGTGTGTCGAAAAAGTGTGGAAAGGAAGGCCGAAAAAATTATGTGAAACCAGGCAATTAAGACGGCGACCTGCTCGCTCCGCGAGTCGAAATAATGGTAGTAACTTTCAGTTTACAAGTTACAAAATGCACTAATATAACAATTATGACATCCTGTAATATTTCTTTGCGTTGCGGATTGCATATGCGCGAGTATTCGTATGCCGCACAGGTAATTGGCTATTAGTCTTCAGTCTTCGTAACAATCGTTGCATTGTTTATTTTTTTCCATCCACAGGCCCAACATATTAATAACAAAATATATGGACGTAGAAGCAGTGTTGTAATACAAACTGCAAATCAGTCAAATGGTCGGATTGGTGTTTGAGATTAGAGAAAATTAAATTAACAAGTGAATTAGAGGACTCATTTTCTCCACGCTTGAATCGAATTGCATACGATTGCAATTCCAATCAGAAACGTAATTGCAAACACAAAAGCATCCGATATTAGATTCTTCAATTTAAAAATATGCGGCGAGAAATTCAAGTGCTACGCGTGTATGTATTTTGGATTGTGGATAAAGTCAAAGAAAATGATTGGAAAATCCAGTCTAGCGCGGAAATGAAACGGTAAAATTGGCGCGGTTTTAACATTCAGTCGGATGAGACTATGCGCCAGAGATGCCTCTTAACATTGCGCTTAAATACGTTTTCGCTCGCATGTGCAATCACGCTCGGCACGCTGGCGCAAAACAACAAACAAATCGCAGCAAGCGCCGCGCCCGAGGGAAAATCTTCTCGCACGCACGGCGAAAAGCTACGGTCTGCGCTCGTGCTCAACGACCGAATGCTGAAAAGGCACCTTCGATATAAATTAGACGCAATGCCCCGGCGAAAAAAGAGGAAAATGTCAATGTGAAGGCAAAAACTTGAACGAGAATACTGCGAAAGCTCACGATTTCTATACAATTCACTGAATGTGCGCATTTGTAAAAACGTTATTAAATTAGAATGACAATAACGATCCGC